GTTTATAAAGTTGTACATATGGATATTTTTCGTACTCAAAATGCATCGATTCACTTCAGAAGGTTTTTATTAAGCCCCTGGAGCCATGTGGAGTACTTTTTTATGATGGATGGATGTACTTTATTTTGCTTCAAAATCTTGACAACTATTCACTGCCATTATAAAGGTTGGAAGAGCCAGGACATCTTTTAATATAACTCCAACTGTATTCGTCTGAAAGAAGAAAGTCATATACACCTAGGATGGCTTGAGGGTGAATAAATCATAGGGTAATTTTCATTGTTGGGTGAACTATCCCTTTAAACCTCATTTTCTTTCCCACTGCAACATAAAGATTAAGAGGTACCCTGACACGAATTATTTAGTGTGAATGTGCTCTCATTACAGATCTTCAACCTGCTGCCAGTGCAATCAGTGTCAGATTATCCTTACAGCGTTGAAGATGAGCAGGAGTGTCTGCATGTGAGACCCCGTCGAGCTGTACTGACAGACAACGCCTATGAATCCCTAAAGGTAACAAGTGGATTAATATGTGTAAAATTCCTCTTATTCTGACAGCTACAAAAATTTGTATTTTATTTATGTTACATTTAATGTGGTTCATTTTGCTGTTGGACAGAATGTGGGGCTGAAAATGGCTACAAATTTGGCTGTGCGAGTCCCTAAGTGTCTGTCATACAAGGGCTTGACTTATCACAGATATGAAGATATAGGTAATATCTATGAGTTCATTAATGCATGCATTTGCTATCAATGATTTAATATGACTGGAATTCACCATTATTAAGCACTTTTTCATAATGGCACTGCAAGAGCACAAATGACTCTTTGTTTTGTGACATCTGTCTGATCTATAAAGTTATTTAAATCAGCAGTTCTCAAAATTTGTGACATCAAGGTACTAATTGCAAGAGATACACCTCCCAAAATGTAAAGGATCATTTATTCTGTGAGAAAAGTGTGAAATTATAAAGACAATATGTTTAAGTTTAATGTATTGGCTTTTATATTCTTATTATACTTCTTATTATGTATTTTGTTGACAGTGTATCTGTTTCTTCACACTATTTTATGTTAGCTGTACAAACCTGAACTGATTTTTTTTTTCAATTCAACTTTATTTATAAAGTTATAAATTATTTATAGGCCCCTTGATAAAAAAAAAATGTATTAGCATATTACAAAAAAAATTGAACTAAATAAGTATAAACAGTAAAAGGGAAAATATCATCATGGTTGAAATGTTGTCATTATAAAATAATATACTGTAGGTAGTTTTAATGTTGTGAACACAATGTTGTGAATATAGTTTAGATATTTCAGAAAGTGTATAATGTGACAGAGATACGAGACAGTAGTTCTGTACTAAATTGCTACAGTACATGTTCTGATTCAGGTATCACATCATATCGTGTGCTTTTTTTGTAGGGATGCTTGTGTATTACAGTCGATCTGGTATAGCGTTTGATTTGAATGAAGGAGACTCCTCAGTTGAAGTGACAGTTCGTACTGTCTTTCCTGAAACATGGATTTGGCAACTTGCTGCAGTTGGGTTAGTGACAATGTTGTTATCTGTCAACATTAGAGGGATCAGCCAGATCCACTGTTTCAGTCATTGGTAACATTTACATACACAAGCAGAAATAAGTAAATTAGTATGGAAATTAGTACATATACAAGCAGAAATTGGATTTCTAAAATGTAGTGTATTATTTGTGTTTGGTTTGTAGGAGACATATTGGGTCGTGCACTGAGCAATCTTCACGGATTACTACAGATGCCGTACGGCTGTGGAGAACAAAACATGGCTATTCTTTCTCCCAATATTTACATTCTGCAGTATCTGGAAAACACAGAGCAGCTCACCTCAGCCATCCGAGAGAGAGCCACCGGCTTCCTTAAGAGCGGTGAGAGAAATCAATCATGTTAAGAGAATACTGAAATACTGAGAAATTAAGTCACAATACATTTGACTTCAGAAACACTTGATCAACCCAGAATGTTTAAACTCAACAGGATACCAGAGACAGATGAACTACAGACATATTAGTGGTGCATACAGCACATTTGGACACGGAGATGAGAATACATGGTAAATATTTGTAACTTTTCACTCTCACTTTTTTCCTACATAGTTACAAAGTTAAAATTTGTATTTTTACTTTACATGGATGGTATTTAGTTTCAACAATTTATGTATACACTGTCAAATGATTAATCGCAAGTAATCACCGACTTTTATTATCCAAAATAAAAGTCTGTGTTTACATAATATATGTGTGTGTACTGTGTATATTTATTATGTATATATAAATACACACATACATGAATACATATTTTTTTTAAATAATATATAAATATTTTATACATAAATATAGCATAATTTTCTTAAAGCTGCTGTTATGTGGGGTAGCTGGAGGAAACAGGCTGAAGCGTGGATCTAGGTGCAGGAAGTTTAATAAGACGACAAAGTGAACAAGAAACAGGAAACACTGGGAACAAAGAACCAAAGCACGTGTAGAAACGACATCAATAACATTCAACAACTGACAAAGCACAAGTGAAACACAAGGGCTATTTATACACAGTAGAACACAAGGAACCAATGAGTTACTATGGAAACTAACAAGGAGTGGGTGTGGTCCAATGAGTGTCTATGGCAACTAATGAGGGTAGCTATGGAAACAAACAAGGCACACAGCAGACAGGGGCAAAACACACACAAGGAACAGGTGACATAGCCCCCACCTAAGGAGCGGATTCCAGACGCTCCAAAAACAAAAGACAAAACATATGCAACAAAAGTCCAGGAGGGTGGTGGAGCGGAGGCGGAACAGGTGGAGGGAAGGTGGGCCAGGCTCATGGGATGGAAGAGGTCCTGGAGACTGAGGTGGAGAAAGTGACCAGGGCAGAGCAGGCAGTGCAGGAGGCCAGGGTGGAGCAGGCAGAGCAGGTGGAGCAGAACAGCACCAGGGCGGAGCAGATAACCACCACAGCAGAGCAGACAGGAGCAAAGATCACCACGGTGGAGCAGATGACCACCTCAGCAAAGCAGATGGGAGCAAAGATCCCCACGGTGGAGCAGATGACCACCACAGCAGAGCAAATAACCACCAACATGGAGCCAATGAGGCAGGTGACCACCAAGGTGGATCAGGCAGAACTGAAACAAAGATCACAGAGAAGTTAACAGCGGCCTCCTTGGCCATAACAGGACAGTCAGAGGGTTCAAATGCGGCCTCCTTGGCCGCATCAAGGCAGACGCCACAGTTAGTGGACATTGAGTGTTTAAACTAGAGGTCTTCATGGGTCCACTTGGATCCGAAAACCCGAGGTCCGACCCGAGCGGGTTCGGGTCCAAAATTTTTACGAGTGCCTCGGACACGGGTCGGGTTCGGTATTAGCGGCCTCGGGTCTCAGGTCTCGGGTAATTTAAAATAAATGTGCTTTTTTTTCAAATGGACCCGATAAGACCTGAATTCTTTTAAACTATCCTGAATGTGTACTTGCACGTTCGCGTTAAGTGAGGAATGCACATAGAAAAGGAGCATACGTTTGTAACCTCGCCAAAAGAAATCCATCTTATAGATATGAGATCCATCAGGAAAATTCACTCGCTTCATGCAGGGCTTTTCTTTTTTTGTGTGCAGAAGCCTTTCGCCGGAGATTAGGTTGCAGACAACACTAGCGAAGCCATGAGTTATGCTATGATCATGAGTTATGCTTTAGATTAGCTATGAAAAG